TAAGAAAGTTTATTTTCCATCCTCATTCGTTAATTGAACGATTTTAGAGATCATTCCAATACTAGTGCTTGATTCAAATGTTAATTTTTCTAATGAATTAGCATATAGATTAGTGGTTAAAACCAATGTTTTAAAACCTGGCCCAACCTGACCGGTTTAACCAGGACCTAGAAGCTTCAACGAGCCAGGTTGATATTTTTCCTATTCACCCAAAACCCTAGGATTTGAGAGGATGATCGGGGAACAATAGATGGTCGAGATGTTGGGTCTTTTGAAAAGAAAGTGTCAGTGAATGCAATGGTGGTGGCGGAGTTGATTTCCAGTGAGTAAATCGACTGGAAATCAAACAAAATTGGTAGCGGCAACAACCGACTTTTGTCGGCGATTGGAGAGGCCAACGGGGGTGGGGTAATGTGGATTTTGGTTGGGAGGAAGAGGAGAGTAATTTCTGAGTGATGGAGAGGGTTGTCGACATCGGCGTCAATGAGATTTGGCCTAGAATTTCGACGCCGGCGTTAGTGAGATCTGGTTGAAATCGAACATTTTTCAGCCAGATCTTGGGCATATTTTAAGGGGAATAGGCTCAAGGGACGATTGGGGTTTCATCTGGGGCATCGTTGCTGCCAACCAGTCGCTGGCCGATTTGTATTTGGGGTGTGTTTGCTAAATTTCAAACCTATAAGGACTTAACGAATTTTTAGGGGTGTATTTGCTAAATTTTAGAAGTTTTTGTCAACCGGCCAACCCGAGACATGGCAAGTTTTCCGGGTTTCACCCCAGGTTGGGTTTTAAAACAATAATTGTGTTTGGTCGAAATTTGATGATGGATTGGTGGGAGAGGTTGAATATTCAACAAATAACTAAAACAAACATTCTGCCAACACATTATCCATCATCAATAATTTAACTTCACTATTGACCTCCTGCCTCAAATATATACATATCATCATAACACAAATCTTATTATTATTATTACCCACGTCCTAATTCTATTAATCGTATCATCATAAAAATCACTTTGAAGAGTGACCATGAAAACATTAGACATATATAATATATTGGTGTCTAATAGCAGCATGAGGGAAAGTGGAAGATTATGTCTACTGAAAATGAAGTGGCATCATCACCTCACAATCACAAATAACACAAACACAAACACTGGTTTACATGGATCATTACATCATTTTCCATTTCTTCTTTCACCATGCTCCGCATGCATCAAAACAAATCATTAATATATGCTTAATTAATTAATTAACATATTATAAAAGTAAGTTATCATCCCATATAATATTAATCTTTGAATAATAAATCATTTCTAATTATCTTCTTTGAATTTCTATCAACACATATTATTATTTATTTACTTTTCTTCTCTACATGTTTACTTAATTTCTCAATCATTTTTTTCTTATTAATTTTGTAACCCCATAATTAATTATCCTTTCATATTGCATATACATTACCCATTATGTACTACTTTATAAATATTCTATTATGTTTACCATCCCATTATAAAACAAAACACACGTAAAATATGCAAATCATTTCATCATATCATTGCTCTTCTTCTTTATTTTATTTTACATTTTATTATACGATTTATTTATTTATCTATCTCTTCCAAATACAATGAATTAATGGGTTAATTAATAAAATGTAACTAGATATAGGAGGGAGTTAATTGACCAAGTTGGTCGGTGGTAAATCTAAGTATCTTCTTAGGGTTTAGAGAACGAGAGAAGTGGTACGTTGCATTAAACCAAAACGACATTTCATTAACCTCATCTTCTTTATTCTTTTAATCTCAAACTAATCTAACATGATTTGATCTTTACAAGTATATAAATTATATTGTTTGACTTCAACTCTTGTATTGATTAATGAGAACAAAATCCTATTTAGAATTACGAAAGAGATGTTTAATTAGATAAGTGTATACATATCGATGGATCTAAAAATGTTGGTTATAGCCACTCATGGCCTCCCAAGTGTCCACATTTGACCATGTCAACATGGTCAATAACTCCATTAGGGTAAGGAGGCTTCCTTTCCCAACAATCAAAGTCTTCAAGAGCCAGCTCTCCATTGAAATTAACAAGCATATATTTATATACACTATCCCTTCTTAATTATAACTATTCTGGTATTACAACACTACAAATCCCAGTGCTCCCGGGATTAACAAAATTTTCTCTTTAGATTGACTAATATGATACATGCATGTATATTAATACATGGTATAATTCAAAGCTTACCCCTTAGTTTGGTATGTATTAATTTCTATAGTAATAGCTGATGTGAAAAAGAAGAAAGAATGGAGATGGGAATAAAGAAAAGAGAGAGAGAGAGAGAGAAGGATAATGAGTTTAGAGGGAAGCACATTTATCAAGACATATGGAGATGTACTTCATTGTCCGACAATTAAACAACCATTTGCTTCTATTGCTACCCAAAACTAAGGCAAAACCTTGTAAAAGGAAAAAAAAAAAAAAAAAAAAGATGATCTATCTATTGCATGTAAATTTAAATAAAAACTATATATTATTTCATGACAAAAGGTCAAAAATTTCATCAACCCAACAACAATATCCCACTATCCATGTGCATGTCAATGAGTAAAGTTGAGTGTCCTCATTTTCTTTATCCTTCAACCATCCAAAATAAAATTAAAAAAAAAAAAAAAAAAAATTAAAACCCCAATATTTACGAATTCAATTGGGTAGCTGCCATATTTTCTATTAAAGTCTTGTATCATCATCATCCATCTCGTGTCCCAATTAGTCAAAATCGATCCAAAATTTGTGGTCAACTTGAACTTAATTGAAGCGCAGTGCTCGCTTCCTCTCCTTTCTTGTTTTTTGAATGCAGGGCCTCATTGCGTTTATTCATGATAATTATGATGATGATTTTCTTTATATATATATATATATATATATATATATATTTCCTTGTCATTTGAATCCAAGGCATTTACAATCTTTTAATATTCAGTATTTCCTAGAATAATCCTTCTATCCCACACTACAGTATTTAAGTTCTTAGTTTCAGGGTCCTGAAAGATTAGTTGAGGTGCGCATAAACTAGCCCAGACATCTCCGGCATAAAAAAAATTTAAGTTCTTTATATGCGTTTTGGAATGTTTTCAATCAATAAATTTGGGAATTCTATTATAAATTAATGTTCTACGTATGCTTATGCAGACTTGTACATATTAAATGTTACGAATTAATTTGAGAAGAAATATAGACAACATTTTGTTCTCGTTCATATTAATTATTTGTCTTTGTATTAAAGTCTTCCCGTACCATTCAATGAATATTCTTTGTCCTAAATTTCACATGTAACTCAATTTATGGTTTTGCAAATTAATTAATAAATATAATAATTATTTTTCTTTGGTTTCCTCAACTTAAAAACAAAAAGTTGTATATTGAATACATTATACATCCATTATCCCAAAGAGCATGAATATAAATGCTGTAATGCACCCACCAATAACAAAACACAAATAAATTTGAGTAGGATTTTAGGAACAACAATAAGTAGTGGTCGATTTAAAAAGAGGCAAGTTGAAAGATTTTTGTCTAGCAATTGTTTTGGTCTGGTCTAGTCTAGATGCAGTGCAATGCCTACCAGGTTCACTGTTTATTCATGTTGATTGTCAAACTCATCAAATATCAAACATGTTTTGACCACCACCACCACTACCACCACCCACCACCACGGCACCACCACGAGGCCACAATGGTTTCAACAAAGTCCCACAACTTGCATGTGGGAAAATGGGATCCATTAACCCATCCCATATTTCTAATCTTTTCTTTCAATGTACATATTTGTGGAGAAGTCGTCGCTATTTTATTTCGAGTTTTGTTATTATAGCGTACTTGAATTTTTAAGCTTGTAGAGTGTTCAATGGATCATGAAAATTAGTTGAGGTGTACACAAACTGATCCGAACATCTCAGTTATCCCAAATAAAAAAGGTCATCTAGTCAGACATATTGATTATGCCTTGGATAATTGAAACTTGAAAGGTGATATATGATCCCAAATACAGTCACTCTTTCGGGGTTTCTCCTTTTAATTTTAATTATTTCTTCCTTTTTCTTTTTCCTATGCAAATAGTAATCCCCTTTAATTTTCACCTTGGATGCTTATCTCATAACAAATCAAACCAAACAATTAATGTATTTTTGAATCGAACAAAGGAGCCCACTTCTAAAAAATTTAAGGATTTTGATTTATAATATAGATCAATGGATGTTAATGAAGGGATTTTAGTATTTCACTCCAATCATTTAGTTCATGAACTAATACTATTCATAAGAAAATCATCCACAGTGAAATTATCAAATCAGATGATTACCTTTCTTTTTTTCTTTTTTACACTTATGTGTTAAAGACTTAAAGTCGTTCAATGGACAAACAAACCAATAATACACACAAAACAAACTTACTAATCACAAAGACTATGCTATTAAAAACAAAAAAGAACATGCCAATAATGACATGGCCCTCTACCTACAGTTGAAAAAAACAGCATCTAAGAAAAAGTTTTTTTTCTCGGCATCCAAACACACTAGAAAAAAGTTTCTTTTACCGACTTCATATATACTATTGCCTAATAAAATAAAAGTAAATATACAAATTAAACCAATAAAATTTCAATCGCTCTTACAGCGATTGAATCTCAAACTAGAGAAGACAAATCACACTTCTAATTAGATGATCCTTCACGTTCTAAAACTGCATGTGTGTGTAATCAACTTCAACAACACTTTAATTTATTTTATTTTATTTTCTTTCTCTCTCTCTGTCTCTGTCTCTGAGCTCTTGAGTTTTTTCTTATTAGAGCCTTTGTATAATGCTGGCTCTCAACATCCCACGAGCCTCCACCTGCATAATCTTCAACAAGCTTCTCTCTTTCATATCCTTATCTCTCTGCAAACACCACTCTTCAATTATTTCTCACCATACCCTTTTCCTTTTCCTTTTCCTTTTCTTAATTTCTCTCTAGATCTTCATTAATATTCTTCTTTCTTGTCAAATACAATTAACTCTAGCTATCATTCCTCTGAATTGCAGTCAATATGGCTCTTGAAACTTGGCTAATAAAAGTTAAAACTGCAATATCGAGCAGTTTTGATACTGTAAAGGCCTCAACACCGAAACCGAAGTTGTCTCCAAAGAAATCCAACGTTGGAGTTTTAGCTTTTGAAATCGCTGGAATCATGTCAAAGATCCTCCATTTATGGCAAGCTATTGCAGACAAGAACATCATTCGTCTCCGCAATGAGTCGATATCTCTCGAAGGAGTCCGCAAGATTGTCTCAAACGACGAGTCGTTTCTTCTTGGCTTAGCATGTGCGGAATTGGCAGAAAATATTAGACTTGTTGCAAAATCTGTGTCGAGATTAAGCAGGCGGTGTGAAGATTCGAATCTTCAATCCTTTGATCGGTTGTTTGAAGTCTTTGCAAACACAAGCCACGACTCACTTTGTTGGGTTCTGAATCCAAAAGATATGGAAGCCAAGAGCAAGAAGATGGACAGGTACGTGACGATTACAGCCACTTTGTATAAAGAAATGGAGGAGCTAACAGTTTTAGAGAATGGATTGAGAAAAGTATTGCAATGTAACGAATATGAATCCTCCACCAAAGAGCAGAAAATTGTCGATCTTCAACAAAAGATTATCTGGCAAAAACAGGAGGTAAAGTATCTAAAAGAGAGATCTTTATGGAATCGAAGCTTCGACACTGTTGTTAATATTCTTGCAAGACCAGTTTTTACTGTTTTAGCAAGAACAAAACTTGTGTTCGGGATTGGTCATGGTTGTCCCGCTTATCTTCCTCGAAGTCTCTCAGCTTCAGCGACTGTTCATCCAACCGAAAACCCTAATACATGTAGCTTTGTCTCGGGGCCATTGAAAAGCTCAAAACTTGAAGAAAAGAAAGATTCAAATAATGGGTTCTTCGAGTCGAATTCGAAATTATTAAAGGCTCCTACAACTACGTTAGGTGCCGCTGCTTTGGCCCTACACTTTGCGAACTTGATTATCATAATGGAGAAAATGATCAAGTCTCCACAATTGGTTGGTGTTGATGCAAGGGATGATCTCTATGCGATGCTTCCAAGTAGCATACGATCATCGTTGAGGGCTCGATTGAAGGGAGTCGGTTTCTCGGCGAGCGATCCGATGCTCGCCGGAGAATGGAGAAACGCTTTAGGGAGGATCTTGGGGTGGCTGTCACCATTAGCACATAATATGATAAAGTGGCAAAGTGAAAGAAGCTTTGAGCAACAAAATATGGTGCCGAAAACTAATGTTCTTCTCTTGCAGACTCTATATTTTGCGAATAAAGAGAAGACAGAAGCCGCCATTACTGAACTATTGGTGGGTCTGAACTATATCTGGAGATTTGAAAGGGAGATGACGGCTAAGGCCTTGTTTGAATGTGCCAACATGAACGGGTTGTTGAATGATTTCAAATGTTAACATTCCAGCTAAGGAGATGGAAATGGATGATCCATCTTTTTTGCTATTCCCTTTTTTTCTTTTTAATTTTTGTTAATTTTCTGAAATTTTTATCATCATGGTTGATTTTAGATTGAACTGAATTTCATCAGATCTTTAAGGGTTTGTTTATTGCTTCACACCCAAAAATGTATATGAAAAAATATATATATAGATGTATGTAAATGAAAAGAATTGAGAAATTCTTCTCGATCGAAAATATTATTTGCATGGCCTCTCAATCATTAATTACTTATTCATCATTATATCATATGAAAATATTCCTCTCTAAACTTTTGCTTATTATTATTATTATTATTAATTACTACTCCATAGTAGCGTACCACCAACTCCCAGATTCAGTTAGCTTCTAGTTTATTTAGTTAGTTTGAACTGCAGATCCATATTCTTCATCTGGAACCCATTTCAGAGATATAAACAAATACCAGCTGTTGAATTAAGTGTTGAAGTGGGTCCTGATTACTACCAACAATACATTTGTAATTTACCTGATGGAATCTTGTTTAATTAAGTTATATAATCATTGATAATGAAGACGACTAGGCACCAACTAATTAAACTCCTATAGTTATATATACATGTATTTTTTTTTTTTATTTTATAATCGAGATGTTCGTGCCAGTTTGAATATACTTTAACTAATCCTCGAGTTCCATTGAACACACTTACAAGTTCAAAAGATTAACTAAGTCGCAATGGTACGTGCATGACTCCAAGATTTGAACCCAATAACTCGATAAGGGAGTGAACCTCCTTAACCATCGGGTCATCTTTTTGAGGTTTATCTTGTATATTTATGTGTATACATTTTGTTTATATATTTTTACTTTGAAAACGCTATCAATTATGATAATGATTAAGAAGATGAAAAAAGAAATCAAAGGTGTATATTATATTTCATTTCGTTAAAGACTTTTCTCATCATTCTCACTATACAAAATCTAATTAATTAGCTTTTCATGAGCAATCATAATATACACATAATATTATTATTTGAGACATAATGGAAGAAGCAACCCGGCCGATAATACAAATTGATATTGGATCTATATTGAGAAGGCACCTGCAATATTAGAACTTTTCAAAGATTTTTCTTTAAATTATAATTAAATAAAATATGATACAACTTTTACAAAGGAGAAACCCCACTCTTGGCATCCATGTTGTTGATGATCTCTTGATATTAAAATGGGGGGTAATACAGCTCATAGCTTAGGTGCCTGATTAGGACACAAGTTTCTCGTAAATGTGTCACTTTTGTCTCCTCTTAAGGGCCCTTCATGACCATATTCAATAAGCAATTTGGTATGTAAACATTGTTAAAGAGATGATGGAATGTTATTATATTGTGTGTATATTTTTTGCCCCCACCCCCCATTCATCTTTTTCCTTATATTATTTTACTTTCTTATTTGGTTGAATCAAAAGACAAGATATGACATGTGTACTGTTTGTATTCTAAACTGAAAAAGATCGTTAGATGAATTGGATTTTGTTAGAGTCTCACACCGATTGGACACGCTCAAGCCTACTGGTTTATAAGATGGGATAATCCTCATATTCAATAAGGCCTTATTAGATGAGTAGTCAGTCCCACCTCAAATTCTATCATAATATCAAAGTCCAGGTTCAATTGAGCTGAGTGTTTGACCAGCAGGTGAAGACCACACCGACTAGGCACACTCAAGCTTTTTAGTTTATAAAATAGGGTAATCCTTCCATTCAATAAGGTTGAGTGAGGAGTCAGACCCACCTCAAATTCTATCAGATTTTGTTTCAGGATGAAGATAATGTCTATTACAAAAGAGAAAAAGGAAGTTTATTTGATGTTTAATCATACATAAGAGTCCCGTCCAACCTGTTAAGATGGATCATATCATCTCAATGCATGTGACTTTTTGTCATCAGTTTTTTAGATTTTAAATGCATGTGAAGACTGAAGAATTAATTAAAGAATATTGCAAACCGGGTCTTGCTTTTCACGCTTCAACCAGCAGATCAACAAGAACTAGATCTATGCACTCCATTAACTAATGTTGATGCTTGATTTTGACACCAACGACTTGCATGTACAAAATGCTAAGAGAGTTTTAGAAATTACACGTGATGGATTGATGAGATTTGAATATGATACTAGATTATATATGTTTGCAGAAACATAAATAATGGATTGACACGGGAGATTTTTATAATGGTTCGGATGCTTAAAGCAAATCCTACATTCATTATTATTTTATTATTCTCTGACTATTTCTATGATATTGTCTGTAAGATGTACAAAGATGGAGAAATACTTTGTTTACAGAGAGAAATATTGAAGCTCAAATTTTGTCTAGCTCTCATCTGTCCAGCCTCTCCTTTTAAGAAGAGAGGTGTCAATTTATACACATTTAAGGTCAATGTAACGAGTGTTTTTGCAAGTTGTCTTGACACATGAAGAGCTCTTATTCATCCTTATCTTAAAATGAGATAGGGTTAATATAAAATATCTCTGAGGTAGTATGTGCTTAACAGCTAGTACATTTTGTCTTTTAGGTACTTGTTGAGCTGACATCAGTGTAACTTTTTAGGCACAACAACTAATTTATTAGATTTCTAGTGTGTCAAACTGTATGCATACCAGAAAACACACGAGAAACCCAGCTATATACATAAATATGAGTATGAACAACTCGATCTACAACAAATCAATATACATTCATGTAATGCAACAAACTATCATACATCAATCTTACTACTGATTAAGATGATATATATATGTATATAGCTGGAAAAATGTTTTATATATGTGTATCTGTTTAATTAATGCTGATTATAATGGAATGTCTGATATGTGTCACATGATTAGACAAGCATAAACATGAACTCTTGAGTTTGAGTTCCTACAAGTCCTAATAGAAGTGGTCATTGAAGGGTTTACCTGATTATCAACTTCAAAATCTTGGAAGATTAGTTGAAGTATACGCAAATTGACTCAGACACATTCGGTCATTAAAAAAAATAAAAAATAAAAAATAAAAAATAAATAGGTTTATTCTACTTTAAATTTTTAATAAAATGATTGGAAAGATTGATATGATTTAGAATTTTAGATAGAAGGGAGCAGAGTAATATACTCTCCCTCGCAAAATAGATCTTCTTTAGTGTTTTAGAAGAAGAAGAAAAACAAAGAATGAGTTTAATGAGAGGTGGGTTTACCATACTATTGGACCAATTACGAAACTCAGCCCAGGAAAGAAATAAAACAAACCCTTGTCCAATGGGCCAATTCCTTTTATTTTTAAAATAGATTTATTAAGAAACTCTACTTTTTGATAAATTTTATAAGGATAAATTTATCCTATATTAAATTATTAAAATTAACTTTAATTTCTTATTTTTCAAAAACACTTTTAACACCACACTATTATCTCATAAACCCTATTTTTTTTTTTTTTTATTCAAATCATTCTTAGAATAAAAATATAGTTTAATGTAGTATATGAAGATTTGCAATGGAAGATATTAAGTTTTTAATTATATTACAGAATATGTCTTTGAGATATTTGTAAGGATTTTTTTTTTTTTAACTTTCAATTAAATTATCTTAACATTTTATTTTGGGAATAATGATGATAGGGGACATATAGTATAAGAGAATAGAATGAAATCTTAACTCTTTTAAAATATATATATATAAAAAAAAATGGAATGAAGGGCATTTATGAAAATTATGGAGTGCCATAAGAAAAATTTTAATTTTAAAATTTTAACATGGGGTGTCTTAAGAAATTTGGCTTTTTCAGTCCATTAGTGGGGTATTAATAATTTTACTCTTACGAAATGTTTCAATGTTTATATAGGGATTAGTTGAGCTCAAGCTCAATGTTTAAAGCTTGGATCGAGCTCAATGTTGAAGCTTGATCGAGCTTAAGCTCGACACTATAGAAGTCGAGTCGAGCTTAAGCAGCTCAATACTTGGCTCAGCTTGGTTCAATTACACCCCTAGCTCGAACTTGGTGTGGCCCAACTTGAGCATAAACTATACTTGGGCATGTGCCTGAAAAATTAGGTTCAATGATGTAGGACACATTTTTTAAAATTAGGATATTATATTATTTCCCCCTTTTTTTATTAGTTTTCTAATTTTAATTAGGATTTATTTGGAAGCTTGGTTTTTTTAGGATTTTAATTAAATTAGGAAGTTTTGTTTTAGTCTGAGTTTTATTTTCTTATTTAAGTTGTAATTGTTTTACTTTTTCATTAGTATGTCTTGTTCTAATAGTATTAGGATCAATTTAGTATAAATAGACTTGTTATCCTACAATTATCAATGACTTATTAATACAATTTCTATATAGTTTTCTTTTGGAGTTAATTCATTTTTAATTTTACATTTTCTCATAAATTCAAGAGTTATTGTTTATAGATTCGGAACTTTTACGCTAGATCGTATCTAATGCTTATCATATTCCACTACCTGACTCGGGCTTTACTAGGCGCAGACGAGTATACTAAATGAAATTTTAAGAAATTAAAGGTAACCTCTAGAAAATTATTGATAATCCACTAAAAACTATAATAGTCCCTTGAAAATATACTTTCGGACAACTTCTATTCAATACAATTTTGTAAAACCCTATAAAAACTACATCCAACAACCTTTTATGGAGTAAAATTACCAATATTCCTTTAAAAAACTGTTATGCATCAAGTAAAATTTCAAAGGGCCTCTTATCATTTCAACCAAATAGGAGTCAAAAGCCTTTAAAAGAACCCTTGCGCTTTAGCGCGCATAACTGAGAGGCTGGCAGTTGGCACTAAGTAAGCTTGAAAATAAAAAACTTAAAATGCTACAAGAAAATATCAAGAACATAAAAAGCTAAGATGAAGAGAAAACTCTTATATCAATGTTACTTTGGAATGAATACATCAAATGAACTAACTGGCTATTGATACATGTTTACAAGTAGATCTAATGGTTAAGATCCTTACGTGTCCAATAAGATGGATGACTAGGATTAATCATAGTATAAAAACTCTGTCCTTATTTTGGTACTTATCTCCATTCTCTACCACATGTGGGAGTCTGTCTCCTGGATGAGTTTGACCGAAGAGTCTTCTAGAAGCTTATCGATCTAGGTCAAGTCTTTGAACATGAATTAGGTCTTGAAAAATGCTACACCCATAACTTCTTCTCACAAACTTTTTTTCACAACTTCGATATGACAACCCCTAATTGGCCAGCTCGTAATAGACCCCACTTAGGTCACACCTGATAAATTGCAACTAACCAATTACGAACTGTCACTTCAAGGTTATAAAAGAAAGTTTGTGAGGAGAGATTGTGGGTATAACATTACTCTTAAGTCTTTTATGTAGGCATGGCAATGTTTCCCGAGATTTCAGGGACCCATCCCGCCCCGCCCCATATGGGGCAAGGAAGCCTTGATTTTTTTGGGGATAGGAGCGGGGGTGAGGGTTGTTTTAATCCCCGTCCTCGGGGATGGGGCGGGGGTGGGTGATGCCTTTCCCCCGGCCCGCCCCGTATATAATATATAAAATTAAAAAAATGTATATATATATTTACTTTTCACTAATGTCCCTATATTTCACCTAATTACACAATTATCCTACCTATATAAACCCATATTTTCCTAATTTCCCTCACCCTAAACAATTGAACAAGAACAAACCCTGACCCATATTTATNGAGAGAGAGTTAATAGAAAAGAGAAAGAGAAACAGGGAGAGAAAGCAAAGAGAGAAATGGGGATTGTAAGGAAAGAATTAGAGAGAGAGTTACGGGGATAGATGAGTAGAGGATTTACTTACTGAGCATTGTTTTGTGCTCACCCCGTTGTTTCCTATGTTTTTGCAGGATCTAGGTGAGGACACGGTCGGATGGATGTCGGCAAGCGAAGGGAAATGGCTACACTGTCCACTTTATTGTTCAATTTTTGTACATGACATGAGTTTGTACAAAGAATGTATATGTTTAATAAAAGAAAAATTTGGGCCCAACTTTTTATGCTATCTTATATGTATTTTTACTATGTATATTTTAAACGAATATGAGTAGAATGGAGTTGTTACACCCCACCCCATCCCCGAGGACAGGGATTAAAACTCCTCCCGTCCCCGTCCCTATCCCCAAAAAAACCAAGGAATCCTCGCCCCATACGAGACGGGTCAGGACGGAGCCCCGGAATTTTAGGGCCCATTGCCATGCCTAGGCATCATGAGGCCATTTATAGACTTTTACGGTTGTTGTGAGGCTACTGCCTCCAATGGCATAAGAGACCTCCAAGGTCTACACTATTTAACAAAACTATTTTAACCATTTTAAAGAAAGTGGAGCTAGGGTCTTATTTTCCATACCTTCAAGGACCTTCACACATGATACATGTTGGGTTTTTCTAAAATTATCCCAAAATGTTAATTTTTTTTTCGTCAAAAGATTGTTTAGAAAGTAAAATAGAGTAACAAGTTTTTCATCTGAATAATGTTAGGTTTACAAGCTTCGTGTACAAATTAATATGAAAAATAAATATTATATACATATATTCATGTAAAATTATTATATCATTTCGTCTTCATCTATTTTAGTGAACATTTTATTTTTCAATTTAAAAGAAGATAAAATTTAGAGTAATATTAGATCCACAACCCAATCTCACAATCTTCTCTCACAACCTTCGACGTGGCAGTTCATAATTGATCAGTTCGCAAAATAGGTCTTGTCTGCTTGTACAAGTCTCACCTACATATTTACAAGCTAACTAATAATGAGCTACTACGTCGGAAATTATAAGAGATGGTTGTGAACCTAGCGTTATCGCAAAATTTATCTAAATTTTAATTTATCTATATAATATAAAACTCTTCTTATTATTTAAAATTCTTATTAAACCTCTTTTGAATTTTAAGTATGGTTTATTTTCTGCCTTAAAAGATGAGAGTTCTGCATTCTAGGCTAACTAATTGTACTGTTATAAGGTTTGACTTACCAAATCTAAAATAAGGTCCTACTGACTATTGTCCTACAACAACTGTTAAACTCTCTTCTAAATTAAAACGAGGAAGTGCAGGTAGAGGAAAAGGGAAGAGACATGTGAGGAAAAAAGGAAAAACAGAAGAGAGAAAGGAGAAAAGAAAATAATAGTTGAGAAAATAAACAGATGGATCTAAACAAGGCGATTGCACCACTTTGCGTAAAGGGTTGTGGGTTATCTTCTCAATTATTATTTTCTTTTTCTCCTTTCTATCTTTTTTTTTTTCCCTCACATGTATCCACCCTTTTCCCCCACAAGTGAATTGCTGTTGAATTTGACCTCTAGTAATGTTTTAAGGCCAAATTGGCCTCTCCAATGGAGCTTTCAAAGCTGGATGCTGGATCGATCTAGCTTGAAGCACTGGATAGTCTTCATCTAGCCTCTAGAGGCATCGACAAGGCTGGATCCAGCCTCTAGCAACTTCCTGAAGTTGAATATGACCTTCAGAGGGCTTGCGCACTACAAGGCAGTATTTGGCCTCTTGCAATTGCCGTCAGGCCTCCACGGCCCCAGAGACGTTGAGAGATCTCCATGGCCTCAAGCAACGTTACAAAACTACCAACAACACAGAGTCTGACAGCAGTTGCCAGAAAGTATAAATGTTTAACATAATTTTTTTTTTTTTTATGATTTTTAAAGAAATTAGGTTTAGCGTCTTATTTTTCATATCTTCAATCCCTTCATGATTATTTGATACTTATAGGGTTTTTATGAAATTATCCCAAAATATATTTAATTTTTTTCCCCAAAGATATTGTTTAGAAAATAAAAACTGTAATCAATTTTTCATATGAATAATGTAAGGTTTATAAACTTTACATACAAATCAATGTGATGTATAATGTTTTGTGTGATTTTTTCATTAAGCTCAGAGAAGTGAAAAGCCCGTGAAGATTTAGTTCAATCTAGAATCAATTCGACTCAGCACTTGTCCGACCTAACATAAGTTAGTCGCGACTAACTCTAACAATTGTTCAACAAATCACAGGTAAGCATAGATCTCGGATATTTCAGAAGAGATCAGATTAACAACAATAATAGTATGATCTTAGCGTATAATCATGAGAATATCATAATTGTAATTTGAGATTACAATTGAATTTGATTGCAATCTCGATAATTTCTCTCTTTCCTTATTTACAAACTTGTATATAAGCCCCGGGGTTAGCAAATTATTCTAGACAAAACTTATTGTTATTCTTGTAATCCATCGAAAACAATAAGATAACAATAGACATAGGCTCAAACTACTTTTAAAATAAATTGTGTTCTTTACATTATTACGTAGCTTTTATTTAATTGTTGATTATCTTTAATCACACAAATATCAATTCTACGTATTGGTGCAATTTTCGCATCAACGTATAATGTTATTGACATATATTCATGTAAAATTATTATATTAATTTTAAAATATGATATGGTCCAATAAGTGTTAAACTCTCTTCTAATTGAGGAATAGGTAGAGCAAAAATGGTGCAGTTAGCATGTTTAGGTTCATCACCAAACGTCGTTGGAAAAAAAATTGGTATATTGAATTAACAGACACCTTTCACATTCTGGTGTATAGACAAAAATGATAAATAAAAAAAAAAGGGGTGTAAACAAGAAAATCTCTAACTGGAAAGAAAAAAGGTATAAACAAGAAAATCTCTAACTGGAAAGAAATCCATGAATGAGATCATATCTTCTCCGCTAGTTTATCACCATCGACGACAGGATTTTGTTTAACCAGTATTTCACGATCAGCTTTCTTGAAATCGAAGGTACAAGAATGTTCTTTTGGGTAACGGTGCATCCCACAAAACATATCCCCACATCGACATTTGAAACCTGTCAAACCAATCTTCTTGTTGCAGTTCTTACATCTATTCTTCACGCTTGAACCTGAACCAGATGCGACAACACTCAACGTTGTTCTACTCGAACTAAAATCAAAATCAACCATCGGGTTCAAAGGTTTTTCCACGTTTAATACTTCAGCTTCAGATTTAACAATAAGCTCTGCCTTTAGAAATTCCTTGTAGCACTTTGAACACATGTTTTTGTTCTCATGAGACCCGTAGAACCCACAACCCTTTGCGCAGAGAGGTGCAATGGCGTTGTTTACATCCATCTTTTATTTGTTCTTATTGCTTCTCACTCGAGTCGTCCCTTTTTTTTGTCTTCTTGTTATTAATTGTGTTATAGAGAAAATTGTGAGGTTTGCGATGGTAGATTGAATATATATAGAGAGATTTGAAGTAGAGTCCACTTAGGAAAATAATTCAAGTACTAATTTCGTATATTTTTCTAGAGATTTCTGTATCCTTCAACCATTTGGAAAATTCAAAGACATTATTAACCAAAAAGGAATGTGCCAATTAATGACTAGAACAAGAAGGAATGTGCCAATAAGGCAATAACCCGAACCTAGTAATGGAAGGAAAAGGGAAATTTAACTCACAGATGTCCCAAACCTTAAGGAAATATTGGAAGAATCCCAAACCAATAATTGGCCAATAACTGTTTTTTATTGAAATTCGAAGTTTACTTTTTGGACCGTGGCTGTCAGCCATACCCATGGAGCTAAAAAGAAAACTGAATTGGTCAGAGTTGACTTACCAAATCCAAAAAATGGCCCCCCTGAAGTTTAAACCAATCTTTCTAAATTAAACCGAAGAATAGTGAGAGTGCAGGTAGAGCTACTTTCTTCAGACACAAAAATGGTGCAGTTGGCATTTTTTCGTTCACCACCAAACTTCTCTAATCCACTTTGGTCTCCACTTTTTTTCACTTATAAAAACAGAATATGCCATATAGCAATGCATAAGTGAACATAGCTTTCACTCCAGAATGGCCGGGAAGGACCCATGGGACGTTCTAGGAGAAAGTATGTCAGGCAACCACCGGCTGTCCCTTTTCTTTGGGAAGAAAAGCCGGGTATAGCTAAAAGAGACTGGAACAAGGGATTTCTTCGGTTAGTCCAATTCAAATGCCTCCTCAAGCTCATTGCATCCACCCTTTAATTGGAGGAAAACCTGGAACGCCACTAAACTCTTTATCACACCCGCCACAATCTGAGCACAAATCTTACCAAAAACCTGATGACTTCCCCTATCACCACCAGAATCTAGCCATCAAACCTACCAGAAAACCTCTAAACTTTCCCATCACCACAGGTCCTACCAGAAAACATCATGACTTTCCCATCACCTCAGAATCTGGCCTACTACCAATCCTACCAGAAAACCTCACAACTTTCCCATCACCCACAGCATATCCCCAGGCTATGATGTTGTTGACAATGGCAAAGAAGAGGAATGACAACGGTCAGGATGACCAAAAGCATTGTTTGAATTGGATCTGAGGCATTTGATTTTGAAACAATGGTTCATTCAGCTCACTCCCTCTCTCCTAGCAAACTGCCTTGTACCTTCAGTAGCAATTTCTTCTGCTGTTCCGTGGAAAATCTTCTTGATGTGATATAGTGATGAACTAGACATTCCTTCCACACCAGATTCTGAAACAGACAGTAGCACCAGTTACCGACTGGTTTCGCGCCTTGTTGGGGCTTCTTTCTTGGAATGCCTCTTTCCATTACTTCCACCCAAAGCTGGTTTCCTTGAAAGGTAGGATGCTCTGAATGGGCCCTCTTACCAACCAGTAATGAAAAGCAAGGAGTTTGATGATGAAGTACCAGCAGTGCTGTATAAGGAGGCCAACAACACTTGGAGAGCTGATAATGATGAGTCGAGGAGGAGCTACCAGAGGAAAGCTGCTCAAATCAGAAAACAGAATCTATCAATGGTAAATCACCAAACTCCTGTTTGTTTTTCATGTCATTAATACTGCATTTGGTCTTAGGCTAAAAAAATAACTAGAATGTAGAAGAATCCATAGCTTCTCCCCTTTTTTTCATTTTTTTTCCATACATAAACCATACACAACCCAACCCTTCCCCACACAAACACAAATTTAATTGATCCCCTCCCAAGTTTGATATGAATGGATTTGATCCTAGATCACTTATACCACTGTTGAATATCAATCAACTAAGTTGGGACAAATCAATAACTATTTCAAAAAATATACAAAAAATTGTATTTAATTCTTTCCATTTGGATACTGTATTCATATTGTACTATCTGTTATTTTGCACAGAGAAATCACAAACAACTTTACTCTTTCCTGAATGCAACTATAACAGGAATTCGCAAGGAGAGCTCTGGATGCTGCATCTTTGGACTAGTATCAAAATGATTGAAGGACTGCAGAGGAAGAAGCGCCAGCTAAGCTCTGAAACTGTTGTCAAAGTAAAACGCAACCCACCTTGTGGTTTAAAATCACCCAGCAATCCATGACCTCTATGAATCTCTTCCAATCATTTTATATTTCTATTTCCAACAAGTGAGGATGTAAAAAATTAAACTCCAGAATGTAAACTGAATGTTTAACACCGCAAATTTCTAAGACAGCTAAACTGAAAATTTGTCGAAATGGCATTCCATTACAACTTCCCCAAACTTTAGTCATGGCAATATGCTTAAATATAAATTTCTTGCAGTATTTCAACTGGGGATTCAGTTTCAGCAACTTTTTGAATCCTTTCTATAACAGGAATATCCTCTTGAATAAAGTGGCAAAACAACAGCGGAACCATCCCGGTTCTATGCAGTGGCAGGCTGACCCAGGAGTAACATTGATTAGCGATATTCAATAGCTTGTCCCATATTCAAGTTCTCCTTTCTCACTGTAAGTGGGGATTAGTGCACTCATATCAGCCCAACAGTATAACCAGCATTGCTCTCCGACATCTGATCCCATTGTTAAACCTGCCACAAATGAATCATAATTTCCTTTACCCTTCTTTATTGGTCTCAAAATATTCCTGAGTGAATCTGTATCCGAAAGCATTGAATTAAGAGTCTCTGGGTCAGGTGACATGGAGGAAAATCTGTTAACTTTTTTGCGGCAGCCAAAACACTGTCATTATAGGTAGATAACCCAGCCCTAAATCCAGGAAGAGAGAGGTCTTTCGACAGCCCATATATATATGAACCCTGTCCTTGTCCACTTCTTCTGATCAAGAATTTCTGCCATGCTCACAAACTCCTCACTTCCAATATTGACCCCCCATATATTTCATCACAGATAATATGGATGTTTTTCTCTCGTGCAAAGTCCAAAACATCATAAAGAGTCTCTCTTGGAAGTATTTGCCAACAGGATTTGCGGGTTGCAGATGAGATTTGCACGTACTTTCAATCCTCGTTTTCTTGCCTGATTGAATGCTTGATCAAGTGCAGTTATACTGAAAACGAAGTTGTCAGTGCTCCGACATGAACAGGAATTAACTCTACTCCTGTTCGCGATCTTATATCCCTGTCAAAACTGCAAATTGTTTTTCAATAACTTTGGTTTCTTAACTGATATGTAAACCTGGTTATACTGGTGCAAGGTCTAAAGTGATGATAAATTACCCAGGATAATATGCGTAGGGACAGAAATCATTTCCATGGTCGCCAAGCAGAAGCTTAGTATCTCATTGCAGGAGTTGCACCAGCAGTTAATACTATTTGTGAAGGATAAATGAAACGGCTTTCCCTATGACTCGAGACATGAACTTGCCAAGCCTGAGAGAATAGATATTAAAAACACTAACACAGACTCCATGCATTATAATAAATAATTCATATTCTTTGCACATACAAAAAGAAACAATCAAACAATGAATGGGTTCTAATAGAGTTAATAAACACAAATAGCACAAAGCTACTACATCATCAGAACATTATAAGCCAAATATTCACACATTACAATTAGTAAACCTTAATACTCATTAGCAACATGATGCAAACGAAATACTTATACAAGCCGAGTGCCTCAACACATGGCATACCTCTTCTTTTCAATCTATTAAAATGAATAAGAGCTCAGAATCAACACATTACAAACTAAAAAAACATTATCTAAAGTGACAGTCAACCAAAAAAATAAAAAAGTTAAAAAAATAAAGTAATCCACATTACCACTTTCATCTCCGTCATTCCATCAAACGGCTGTATGCAGCAATTCCACTAATGCTCAAATCACCACCATCGCTTCCATTATAGAATCCGTCAAGTTCTCCGAGACCCATTTCTCAATCAAATCCAAACATAACTAAAACCAAAACAAAACAAAAAATTGAAATTAAAGTTAAGAAAATTTAAACTAAAAAAAAAAAAAAAAACTCAGTAGAGCCAACATACAGTGTTCTCGGACAACCCAAGCTGAATAATCCCATTCGGATTATTCGTCCTATGATACGGATCCTCCTTAACCTTATTACCCCGATATAATACGTAAATCATCTGCTTTAGCAAGCGAGCCAGCCCGAGAAGATACCGAACTGGACCAAAAGACCCACGCGACGACAATTGGACCGCGAAGATGTTCTGGGTAGGTCCGCGAGGTTCGAGGACGGAGTAGACGGCGACGGAGGATCCGAGAAGGGTTCGGAGAACGGTGACGTTTCAAATAAAACTGAAGAAAGTAAAAAAGAGCGCAGGTTTAGGAGCCCAAATAACGCCTCCTCTGCCTTGAACAACGCCTTGTAACGGCACAATGAGCCTCATGGCAGTGGCACGGTGTGGCTTGGGACGTTCGGGTTCAGTGGTGGGAGGGTTTGGTCTGGGTCATGGGTTGCAGAAAGACCCGCCAAAAACTGAGGCCTTCGTTTGGTCCGTCCGTCCGTAGCGTGAAGAAGAACGGTGAGTAGATAGATAAAGTTTGGTTTGTTTGGTTTGGGTCTGTTATTTGTTGGGAAATGAAGATAACGAGAGAGTGATTTTGTTTTATTTGAAAAACGTTGGTTAGTATGACCGTTCGCTTCGAGAGGAGAGAGATTGAGATTTAGACGTGGTTGTTGTGGATCTTTGCTCAAGGATGAGTTTACCGTAATGCCCCTTTAGCTGTTAATGATTAATTATTACCATTTAATTTGATTTGATTTATTTAATTGCTTGTTCGTGTACAACAGAAAGTCTGCAAGCAACAGTAATGGGTATATTTTTCTTTGTTCTTATCCTTTATCATTATTTAAATTTCTTTCCTTTTTTTTTATTTTGCAAGAAGAAATATGACGTAAAAACA